AGGGTGGTCTGTATAGACAGGTGGATGTATCAAACAGCTGATAACAGGGTTGCCTAAAGTGACCGCTATAGACAGGGTGGTCTGTATAGACAGGTGGATGTATCACACAGCTGATAACAGGGTTGTCTAGAGTGGCCGCTATAGACAGGTGTATGTATCACACAGCTGATAACAGGGTTGTCTAGAGTGGTCGCTATAGACAGGGTGGTCTGTATAGACAGGTGTATGTATCACACAGCTGATAACAGGGTTGTCTAGAGTGGTCGCTATAGACAGGGTGGTCTGTATAGACAGGTGTATGTATCACACAGCTGATAACAGGGTTGTCTAGAGTGGTCGCTATAGACAGGGTGGTCTGTATAGACAGGTGGATGTATCACACAGCTGATAACAGGGTTGTCTAGAGTGGCCGCTATAGACAGGGTGGTCTGTATAGACAGGTGGATGTATCACACAGCTGATAACAGGGTTGTCTAGAGTGGCCGCTATAGACAGAGTGGTCTGTATAGACAGGTGGATGTAACACACTGCTGATAACAGGGTTGTCTAGAGTGGCCGCTATAGACTGAGTGGTCTGTATAGACAGGTGGATGTATCACACAGCTGATAACAGGGTTGTCTTGAGTGGCCGCTATAGACAGGGTGGTCTGTATAGACAGGTGGATGTATCACACAGCTGATAACAGGGTTGTCTAGAGTGGCCGCTATAGACAGGGTGGTCTGTATAGACAGGTGGATGTATCAAACAGCTGATAACAGGGGTGTCTAGAGTGGCCGCTATAGACAGGGTGACCTGTATAGACAGGTGGATGTAACACACTGCTGATAACAGAGTTGTCTAGAATGGCCGCTATAGACAGGTGGATGTAACACACTGCTGATAACAGGGTTGTCTAGAGGGGGGCAGGGAGGACACGTGTTCGCCGGCAGCCAATGGGCGCGCATTCTATCCGTGAGCTTCAGACATACAGACAGAATAAGGCAATTATATAAGTAGATGAATTATAATTTTATTATTTTTAATTATGCTTCCCCTATCTATTTAGGGCAAGAATAATTGAATAAAGAAAATGATCACTTTAAAAAGAGAGGTATTGTAAATCTTTGATATTTTGATAGACTAGAATGGCAATTAAAATTCAAATAAACTCAATTAAAGTTTATATGGACAGCGCGCTAGGAGCTGTATATAAAACTCTATGTGAAAGTGTTCAGCAGAGAAAAATAATTTGTTTATATATGTTAGAAGTTGTAGAGACTCCACTCATTTACGTATGACAATTTTTTTGAATACTGAACATATAATTCAAATGTCCAATCATATATTGTTGCATCAATTTTAATGCCCTCTACATTTATTCAAAATATTTTATGATATTTAATGTTCATTTGAAACAGATTATATAGATTACCATCATTCCTTTTTATAGTTTCATTACTTTTGTAATATTTTATTGTAGACCAAGACTGCGGATCGAGACCTACGAGGAAGACAACGAATAAATAAACGCAATAACTTTAAAAGTTAATTTATTTTATTTAATTCTATATATTTACTTTTATTTATTTACTTTAAATATGGAAACCCGCTCGAGAAACGTGTATAACACCAAGAAGGAAGAAACCAAGGTCGACACCCTGGAAAGCTGCAACTCGGTGCAACAATATAACGACTACAGAATAATTCACATTCAACATGACCATAGCGGTTAATTCCAGAATATATTGAAACTTATACTGAGTTCAGTTTCTGTATCGAGGTCATTTATTTGAAAAACTTATAGAGCAATGTGTAAGGTAAATGTAAAAGGAATCAAAACATAAACATTCCAACATTTATTATAAAACATATAGAAGCCTACATTCATTACGGGAAATTACCCAACGCAAAGTGTTACTCAATATACGACACAAAAATTGATAAGACGCCAAACAAATATATTTAACAGCAAAGTCCAGAGCTGCTACAAACCTGCGCACAGAAAATTTCAATAGATTTTCAACCCATATATCTAAATATATCTAATGTTACACATCTGATGAATGAACAATTCATATAAAAAAAGAGATCATAATATTTGTTTTGAAAATAGAGAAATCCATACATAGATCTTCAACTGAAAAGGCATATAAAAATAAGTACAGTTAAACCTGTCTATAGCGCCCCCTCTTGGGACTCACCAAAATAGGATGCTATAGAGAAGGGATGCTATAGACAGGTCACTTTTAATGTAAATCGCATCGTACTACGTATTTAAAATCGGGCGCTATAGAGAAGGAGGCGTTATTTAAAGGGGGCGCTATAGACAGGTTTAACTGTATATAAACTATATTTTGTTCCAATATATGCATTTTTTATTGAATATCATAATATGTTTTTCATATTTTACCTATTATTTCATTGGACAGTTAGTTAAAACACAGTTTTAGGGCGCTAAGTTGTTGATAATATTTAATCACATTCATTTATATTTACCAATAGCACTTAAAATGTAAAAAAAAGTTTTTTTAAATGTTATCAACACTTCTTGAATATTCAGAGAAATTTTATATAGTCTATATTCTTTCAAATGTACAAATAAATGTTTTGCGTGAATATTTCTTAATGGACAATTGACCTATTTTATTTTCTCGATAAAATGGAATATAGTGGAAGAAAAATATCGCGCAAAAATGATTTTTTTATTATATCGATGGAGCACTAGGGCCATAAATTTATAGTAATAGTGCTGTAATTTTCAATTATTTTATTTCAAAAATTCGACGCTCAAATTATATATATGCAATTAGGTAAAAATGTGTTTCATTAATAGTTAAAGCAGTCACTGTCCACAATGGTTACCATCATCTATTAAATCTGTGTTTAGGATTAAAATAACTATTTGTTTATAATATATACATTTATTATTATTACTATTATCCCTTATACACGTGGTACAGGCCATGATAATCATGGTGGGTAGAAGTTGGCGACTGCTTTTACTGTAAGTGCACCTACACATATGAAAAGCAGCTCGACTTTTGCACTTACAAATGTGCCAGAGCCTAGTTTGGTTTCTTGCACTCGCTGGTGGGGTTGGAATTTTGCAAGAATCGGAAGCCATTGGAGCATTTTTTTTATTAGAAAAAAAGCCCAATGAGGGATTCGATCCTGGGTCGTAACAGTTTAGACCACCCTTTTATGAGTATCGTACGCAACTGAGGTTCTATCTTTCGCAAATCAAGAATACCAAACAAAGGTAGATTTCAGATCCATTGATATATCACTAAATCACTAAGTTACCTCTTTAAAAACTATTTACCGGCGTGATTTCGCATAGAATGTCTCAATAATGATGTCATTGTGTAGCAACGAGTCACGGGTCAATATTATTTTATTAAAAATCCATAAAATTTATTGCGTCACTTCGATAACCTTTTGAACGAGCTAATATATTTCGGCATCAAAATATAAAACAAAATACAATTTTAATGTTAAAAATTCAAAATATACAATTTTCAAACCATTTAATTATTTTGTTTTCAAAAATAGAATAACATTCAACTATCCTTTGTGCGAAGTAAAAATATTGAGATTGCAGTGGATCATCATTGGTGAAAACGCTCAGTAGTTTTTTTTTATCAGACTTCATTAGGTTCAAAAATTATGGGAAAATAGTTAAAAGAAGTAGACAAATATATCGATAGTGGTTAACTCACCTGTCATCATACAGCTTCCTGTACAACAGGAGCAAAGTAGATTTTTATCTCGCAACGAGTTAGGTGCATCTAGAAATGAAATATTGCCTTATCACAAAGAGTTTTAAAGGTAAAACCCAGCTGCTGTTTTTATAATCAATTTTAGGCCTTGCATATTGATATGCCAAGTTGGTCATCTTAATGGTATTTCTACATATATTGAGCTGATTGCTTTTTCCAATCTGATGAAAACGAAATTCTAAAATAGGAAATCAATTTATTTGCCATATGTCATTTTGTTTAGAAAGTAACACCTGGAAATCATAAATGCGCACAATATTCCACACACAAATATAGAATGTGTATTGCAAACACAATTTTATTTCCCTTTTCAAATGCAATTTATGTTTTTAAAGGAAAATTTGTCTAAAAATGCTAGAAAAAAGCGGTACTATGTATAATGTATATTTAATTTGAGTTGTTTAAGTGATTTCTCTTGACATAGGTTATCTCTAAATTAATAGTTAAATATTTTTTTTTTTTTCAACGCGGGCATCCATTGTGCGTGCTTATATAAATACGCAAAATGGAGGCCCGCGTTGATTCTGCCATCAAATAACTGTAAACACCTAAAGCATTTTACTTGAACTTTTATTCTATTGGTGAATAAATGTAAAATATTTTCTCCTGTAGAAGGGCTTTCAAGCCCGAAAGCTATAGAGATTTGTGAATACATATAAAAAAAATGAATTTTACCTGGAATCCGTATATTTTATTAGTGATTCAAAGGATTATTTCATCGAATAGTTAAATTATATGTTACTTTACTCTCATTCCTTTTACCAAATGTTCATAATATAGGAAATTTGTTATATTTAGTATATTAGTTTTATAATGTAGAGGATGAGAGTTATAAATATGATGAGTTGTAATGTCGAATGTGTTGTGATGAAATTTTAGTTTAAAATTATTATTAATTATGACCTAGTAATAAAAATGTATTCGAATTGTGACATAGGGCGATTTATAATTAGAGATGTGGTTAATTAGGTTGAATAATTTTGACTCTAATAGAAAGCCAATCAGTAACTTTTATTTGTACGATCAAGAGATGCTTTTTTAACACATAGGATGAGTTGTAAATTGGGTTCAATAGTAACTTAAAATACTTATTTCACTCTGTATTATTTTTTTTTGTAGAGTATCATTAACTACTATCTATCTACTTATATAATTGCCTTATTCTGTCTGTGTGAAGTTCACGGATAGATTTTGGTCACGTGTCAAGTTACGGTAAGTAAAAATTTAAAATTAAAAAAAGATGCCGAAACCCGGGATCGAACCAGGGACCTTTAGATCTTCAGTCTAACGCTCTCCCAACTGAGCTATTTCGTTTTTTTAGTTATTTCTATAGAGGCTTCTATCTTTATAATTATGTATCTACTTATATAATTGCCTTATTCTGTCTGTGTGAAGTTCACTGTGTGAAGTTCACGGATAGATTTTGGTCACGTGTCAAGTTACGGTAAGTAAATATTTAAAAAAGATGCCGAAACCCGGGATCGAACCAGGGACCTTTAGATCTTCAGTCTAACGCTCTCCCAACTGAGCTATTTCGGTTTATTTTAGTTATTTCTATAGAGGCTTCTATTTTTATAATTATGTATATTTTCAAAAAGTCAATTCACACCTCTTCGCTGGAGACCATGGGAATACTGACTAATTCATTACGCTAACATGATTATAAATACAAGTATCAGAGTCATCAACAATTCTGTCATCGTTTGCTTTTGTGAATGGAATAAATACCCAAATAGGGCCATTTCTTATAAACATCGGTGGTTCAGTGGTAGAATGCTCGCCTGCAACGCGGGCGGCCCGGGTTCGTTTCCCGGCCGATGCATTTTTTTTTTTTTTACAATTTCAAAAACTCATTTATATTATTATCTTTATATATATAAAAATCAGCGTGTGTATGTAGGTATGTATGTTTGTCAATTATACACGTCCACAATACGTAACTAATCTGACTGAAATTTTAACAGTATATAAAGTAGAATCTGGAAAAACTCAGTGAAAATTTCAGGTCTCTCTTCCGAATATCCGTCGTGTTATTTGCAAATTTGCTCTTTCGCTAGCGCCTCTAGCGGTGAAAATGGGAGAAAATACCAGCTGACCTAATGTACATGTAAAGTTTGGAGCGGGACGTTTCATAAGAGTGACATCCACGGCTCCAATTTATAATTGTAACGAATAGTATTTGAATAAAAACATTTAATCGGGTAAAACCCGGGCGTTGCCCGGATCATTCGGCTATTTAATATAAATTATTAAATTTTGAAATTAGTGAGTTATGATGAAAATATTTGTTATAAAGTTTGTATAATTAGTTTTGCATCACCGCTCACTAATACATAATTCACTAATTAATGCAATTTAACTCGCCAGTTTGGTCATCATGTAATACAAAACAGGATAATAAAGTTTGATTGAGGGTCCGCCGGGGCCAAGACAGGACAAAGACCTCCGATTACAGAGTCGTTAGTTTATTTTATCCCTTCCCCCAGACTGGCAAATACAATCTTATAGCAACAGTTATTGTCTGCCTCTCATGTAGATTTCACCATTCTGAACCATATCAGCGTTTTAGGTGCTGGTCTATATTCTAGGTGACATACAACCTACCTGTACTTTTGTGTTACTTATTGACACCTGACACTACTTTGGCCCCAAGACTGCGCAACCTGCCTACCACTACACACACACACATATATATATATATATATATAGATATATCATATGGATTTTATAAATCATTACCTGGATGATTTGTTTACAGGGTTAGAATCCCAGAGGAAGATAGGCAAACAGCCATATTATAATATTGTATGTTATAATAAATATTTTGATCCTAAATAAGCGTTTTTTATTAAAAAAATATACATATGTCATAATATATGCTCTTCCAGGAATAATAAAGTAAACCTACAGTCAACGAGAGAGAGACGTCGATAGAAGACAACTAAGTTACGGCCATATTGAACCACTGGCCACATTCCAGAAGGGGCTTTTCTTGGAACCCCCAGGACTATTTTTGGACACAGTCGGGGGGTGGTGGCGACAAACGGTCGTTCCGCGGTGGCAGCCCGCTAGCGCTCCCTCTCTCTCTCGGTTTGCTGGGTCCCATCTTCCAAACTTGTTGTTTCCTTATTTCTCTCTCCCCACATTATTATCATAATGCCACACTGAAAGTCGACAGGATCATATCACAGAAGAGTCGACAGGATCTTATCACATATATATATATATAGCGATTAAGTTGACCGATTTATTAATCCTTAACATATATATAGGATTATATAAAGACAATTGAAAATGAAAAATTATTTACATAAGACGAATCTCACTAAGGGTTGTCTGGTTTGATGTCACATTTCGTCCTGAAGTCGGAAAGACATAGTTAGGACGTCTCCCCGACACGTGCTATTGCCATATTGAAGAATTCCTTCAGAGCAGAGAAACGCGAGGACATCCTCTCTCTTAGAGGGGGATAAAACAACGCATTTTATATCCTCTCTATAATTGTTTTATAAATGGGTTTCAGGATGATTTTAGCATTCAAGCTCCCGAACAAATCCTCTACCTGTTATAAAATAGTTTGAAGAGGCTGTTTCTTTTGGAGATTTGGTGTGATGGATTGAATAGCTTGTGCATTCTTAGTATGAGTATCTTTGGAATATGCCTCTGTTGGTACAGCAGTGGTCGAGGAAGGCGTTGGTAGAGAAAGCGCCGATACTGAAGGCTCATGGATTCTTCTGGAGAGGGAAGAAAGGATTCGTCGAGGCGAAGGCGCAGCAGGGCTGGAAGTATCTACCCCTCACAGAAGATGTAAGCGCTGCAGATTTTGTGAAGGGGGTGGGCTGGGAAGATGGAGGCGTAGACGCCGGTCCACTCCGTGTTTCCTGAAGATGAGCAGGACGACTTACATGTGCTTTAAAGTGGCAGAAGGCTCCCTGATGTCCCTTTTGGTGGATTTTGCTAGACTCAATGCCGTAGGTGATGTAGGCGGGGGTCTACTCTCCTTTGGAGACAACCACCAGCTTGTCAGGGAGCTGGTGGAGTTTTAGGTCTTCATTTAGAAGGCCAACGGCCTCCCTGAGCCGGTACTCCCTGGGTGTATCCGCCGCTGGTCACGACCTCATGGTTTAGGGAAACCACACTGTAGTAAGGCCACAGTGCCGCGATTGGAAGATTCTCAATCACTATCTTCTCCACCCGTTTCTTATAGAAGAAGGTCTTCAGGAGAGTTTCTCCAATGGGGAGGCCCTCTTCAACTAGGCTCTTTGCTAGATTTACGCTAGCCATCCCTACCAGTACCTGTCCTGACATCATCATTTAGAACACCAAGGACTTTAAATTCATAAGAAAAATGGCAGAATTCCATTCTTTACCCCAAGAACATATTTCTTCACGCCAGCTGAATTGTCGCTTCTTTGTCGGGCAGAGTGTGAAATTCTTAATAAAGGGTGGCGACATCGGAATTCTCCTTCGATAAGACAGTTATTAAGGGTGTTATTAATCGTCAAGATTCATTCTGCATATATAGAACTTTTTGAATCAATGGTACAGTGCTGTTGTCTTGTTATCTACAACAATCCTTCTAATTCTTCTTTTTACTCTCTCTTTTGTTACCCTCGAGCGACCTGAGACAGGAATTTTAAGTTTTTCCTCTAAAGATATGACGAAATCCTCACAACAGTCTTTAATATCAGTCTATTTTCCTAAATATTTCTCTAGACGAAAATGAACTTTCTCTAAGACCTTGATTCTGCCTCTTGTAAATTGAGAAATTTTCTTATATGACACCCTTTTTTCTGCCTTTGCATTCAAAAAAAAAAATAAAGATTAATTCGAGATTATATATATAAACAAATAAACAAAATAATTTCAATTAACTTTCACCAAGAGGCTACTTAACACATGAAAAACAAAGCTATTTCATACACTCATATTTTGTTACAATTAATTTTTCAAATTTCTGGAAAATTTGCAGAGGTGTTTATAAATAATGCAGTTTTCGTGGCCAGTGTATGTTACAGCTCATGCTCAATATAAACCCTTTTACACCACAATATATATATATCACAAATTATCCTATATTACTATATACTATACCACATAATTCTATCTTATATCATCATCTTGTTACAATTCATCCTATACCACATCTTATATTACTGTTCATATTGATCGTATCATATTAATATCAAAACTCAAAGCATAGCACAACTCATCACAATTTCATTACCCTTTTTACTTCAAAACCTATATTCAACATCATAACCCATCCTAATTCATTTCTCTTTATACCTTAAAATTCAGCCTACTAGATAGTACACCTTATAATCACAACTCTTTATATATTGAAATACTTTCTACGTCACAGCTCGTTATATTTAATAGATCATCCATGTTGAAATTTTCAAAATCTCATAACTTATCTCCCTACTTTAATACATATTTAAGATTAAAAGGTTAGAACCCTTTCTTCACAAACAGAATCAACAACAAGTCTCCAAGGATAAGTGTCTTCTTTTATTACCAACACATCGAGCTTTCTGGTATAACGACCCTTCTGCAGGAAATTTTCTTTAGAAGGATCGTTATACCCGAAAGCTCGATGCGTTGGTAATAAAAAAAAGACACTTATCCTTGGAGACTTGTTGTTGGTTCTGATACTTCAATACAATTAATTATTAATAAATCATCCTTCATCACACTAAAACGCATTATAACTCATTCAACGTCCCTACTCATTCTACCTCATAACTCATCCACACCCATCTACTCACACAATAATTTATTCTGTATTACACGCATTCTATATAACAATTTATATCATAAATCTCACCACTCATCTGAATTAAAAACTCATCAAATATCAGAATTCATCCTACACCATAACTTATTTACAACTCACACTTAAGCACAGATCATCATATCTTTCAAATCATATTATGTTAAAATTCCTACTGCATCACAACTCATTCTCTTTCTGAAATCATGTTGAGATTTACAACAAATATATTTTATCTCATCCTATAATAAACCACACCCTATATCACTAGTTATATGCATCACAACTCATTCTCTTTCTAAAATCATGTTGATTTACAAAAACTATATTTTATCTCATCCTATAATAAACCACACCCTATATCATTAGTTATATGCATCACAACTCATTCTGCGCAACAAATCATCCTACAATATTACTACTTATTCTATAATTATAGTTTCGCCTCGTTACCGCAAATGTGTCTTTTATTTAACCATCCTAATATTCATAATACATACGAGATAAATAATAATATAAATAATAGCAAAATAGAAAA